ATTTGCTCGTGCATTCTCTGCTCACTTGGCAAGGTAAATTTTTTTAACTTTTTATTTTTATTTTTATTGAAAGTTGAAAAAGAATCACATTTAGAAGTTTAGATAAAGAAATGCTGCAATGAAACTGGTTATCGAAGATAAATGTAAAATTAACTAACTATCATGATTCATGCAGATTGATGGAGGAGCCTGCTGCATATGGTAAATTAGGGCTAGCCAATCTTTTGGAGTTGAGGGAAGAATGCTTGAGAGAGTTCAATTTTTTTGATGCATATCGTACTATAAAACAGAGGTATGAAGCTTTGATTTTGTGTTTTAATGAAAAAATATATGTTGTGTTTATTTTATTTGATCTTATATATCATCCCTTTTCCTTTCCCCTCAATTATTTTGATTGTGTTAGGGAAAACGAGGCATCACTTGCTGTTTTGCCTGACCTTCTCTTGGAGCTTGATAGTATGAATGAGGTAAAATCCCAACAAATCTTTTACACCGAATATTTTCTAAGAAGTTTTTTTTTTCCCTAGTAAATTTTTTAAGTATACCCTAAAATTTCAATAGTTAAAAATGAATACTTTAATTTCATTTCAGGAAACAAGACTGCTTACGTTAATTGAAGGCGTTCTTGCTGCAAACATATTTGATTGGGGATCAAGTGCTTGTGTTGATCTTTATCACAAAGGCACGATTATTGAAATCTATAGAATGAGTCGCAAAAAGATGCAAAGACCTTGGCGTGTAAGTGGATTTTTCACATTATCTCAATGTAAAGAAAAAATAAACATATGGAAGAAATTTTCTAAACAAATTTTATTTATTATAATGCATTTGTTTCAGGTGGATGATTTTGATGCCTTTAGGGAAAGAATGGGTTTTGGAGCCCATAAACGAGCATTGCTCTTTGTTGACAACTCTGGTGCTGATGTCATACTAGGAATGCTTCCCCTTGCTCGAGAATTGCTACGCCGTGGAACTGAAGTAACTCATTGAGTATTAATAACAATCAGTGATTGTGACGGTTGACAGTTAACAGTAGACAGTTGACAGCTGACAGTATTGATTGTGACATGTGTTTTTGTAGGTTGTGTTGGTTGCAAACTCCCTTCCAGCACTAAATGATGTCACTGCAGTGGAACTTCCGAAAATTGTAGCCGAGGCTGCCAAGGTATGCCAAAATTATAACATTTGTGGGGCCCGATATAATATTTTTGGTTTTTTTTTAGACGTGCATTTTGAAAGTAACCTTGAAAAATAACAAATAGAATCAAATAATAGCAATAGTTATTGTAATTTACAGCATTGTGACATTCTTCGAGGAGCGGCTGAAGCTGGTGGTTTACTTGTTGATGCAATGAATAATATTCTAGAAGTTTCTAGACAAAAGCTTCCTTCAACTCCTTTAATGGTTGTTGGAAATGGATGTGGGAGTCCATGCATTGACTTAAGACAGGTCAGCTCTGACCTGGCTGCTGTTGCTAAAGATGCTGACTTGGTATTCTTCTTTCTAATTTTTTTAATTTTTTTAGTTATTATTATTGCAACTCAGTTGAAAAATGACTCATTTTTTTTTAAATATTTCATATAGGTCATTTTGGAAGGCATGGGACGAGCTTTGCATACCAATTATAATGCTCGATTCAAATGTGATACTCTAAAGGTAAAAAAAATAAAAGATTATTTATGATTTTATCATAATTTTTGGGTAAAATAATTGGATTTTATTAGAGTGATTTTATGATTATGATTGCATGGATGAATGAATATTTTGTAGCTTGCAATGGTGAAGAATCAACGGTTGGCAGAGAAGTTGATCAAAGGGAACATATATGATTGTGTCTGCAGATATGAGCCACTAAGATAAAAACATTTATTTTTCTTGTAACTGACACGTCTTGATCTTATTTGATTATAAACTTAAATAAATTGTCTTCAAATGTTTTTCAAAGTATGTTCTCTAAAATAGGAATTACCCAGTGTTGATATTTTAACAACATTGGTAATCTTTAGCTTTTATTTTAAAGATTATTATCATTGGTAGTCTTGGGTTTTTTTATACAAAATGTTGCCCGTGTTAATATTTTAGTGAAAATACATACAACAGTTTCAAGTTAATGCAGTTATATTTTTCTCTATCTATTAAAAAATTGGTAAGCATTTTTGTTATCGAGTATTAAAAGATATCGATTTTATGATATTAGTACCAAATGTAAACTACAAAACTAGAGGATTTCCACCTGTTAATAAGTTAATTTGAGTTGTATTTGAATTTTGTTTGTTATTAATGACAGTGAAGTAAATAATTATCTAAGTATATATGATGGAGTCAAAATTTCAGACGGGTCGACCATGTTAAATGAGTTGATTTTTATAAGGTGTATTTTTAAAACATACAATCCTAGAAATTGCTTTGTAAAAGTATTACACGTTTAATGTAATAATACATTTTTATAAGCATAATTACGATTGTCTTTCTATAACAAGGTTCTAAGTAACGTAATGCGAGATATGGCAGCAAGATCGAGTCTCAAGATTTACAAGTCATAACGAAGACATGACATTTTTTAAGGAGCAACTTACTTTTATATTTAATTTATAATTATATGTATAAGTATATTTGTTTTCTACTATTATCCAACATAATATATATATATATATATATATAGATAATCTATATATATATATATATATATATACCACACACACACCACACACACACACACACACACACACACACACACACAATGTTGTAAAAATCACCGAGTTGGTCGAGTACTCATCCGAGTACTCGCTACTCGGCCCCTTACCGAGACGAGTTATAGAATCTCGAGTACTCCCCGATCGGCCCCTTACTGAATTGAGCAATGGTGTAAAACTCGGTCAACTCGGTGATTAATATGTATTATATACTTAATAATTTATTATTTAACACACACATGTAATTATTACTACATATATATCTTAATTTTTCAGTAATTATTCACGAAGTGAGGCCATTATGTGTTTTTCAGTTTTTGTGTATTCACATATATCTAATTTTGTTATATATTTCTATCAACTTATGATTTTAACTTATGATTTTGACATATATTTTCCCTAAAAATATTTCTACATAAAATACCGAATCCTAGTACTCCCCGGATACTCCCGAGTACTCGGTACTCGGTAGTCGGCCGAACAGGTACCGAGTAACGAGTTCTACAACATTGTGTGTGTGTCTATATATATATATATATATATATATAATATATATATATATATATATATATATAATATATAATATATATATATATTATATATATATATATTATATATTATGACTTATGGGAGTGTTTCTTATGGCGTGACTTCAGATATTAGCCTTGGAACAATGTCGTGATATGGCGAGCTTTATAAAACATTGCTTTGTATCAACTTTAAGAATTAAAGTGTTTTAAACGTGTTGCATGCTTGTTTAACCTGTTCATTTTAACACATCTAACAAAAAATCATTCTTGGACTATTGTTCTAACATCCTTCCATCATCCAATAAAAGATGATGAATGAGTTTATTAAAAAAATTATCGGTTAAATCGATAATATATGTCATATAATATTCTTTCTCATATTCTTTTACTTCCTTCACGTAACTCATAAACAAGTAAATTGATTTCTCATCCATTTTGATTCAATTTCAAATAGATACAATGGTGAACAAGATAAGAACTTCCCACATGGAAATCGAATCTTTATAAGATTTGATGATCATCGCATATTATTGTAGTGCCTTATCAAAAATTGATTCGCCAAAAGTTCAAAATGACTCTTAGGATGGAGAAGATTAAAGAAGCGAATCAAAATGATTTAGGGTGTGTTCTATTGTGGAGAGAATGTAAAACACGTATGCCTCTCCTTTTATATCCAACTAACTTCCAAACCGTGACATTCTCCTCGAAATAATTGTCATTCAGACCATCACACCTTATTTGTGATGCCTCTCGAGTATTTTAGATTCTCTAGAAATAACAACATACTTTCAATGATCGTTCCATACCATTTGTATGTTGTTATTCAAACCTGTCTCTCATTCCTCACGATTAAAATATGAGAATATGAATATTATTCTTTAGGAAAACTATACCTAAGAATTTTAACTAAGAATCTGATTTCAACCCAATGATTATTTAACAAATGCATCCAATGCCCTTTGGAGTATATACATAAATCATAAACATCGAGTGAAGTTGATATAAGCATCTAAGAGTTTATTAAATATGTATATAGCTAGTAGTTTTGTAAAGATATTCATGATGTATATTAAAGTTTAAGCACGGCGCCAAGAGTCTATTAACGATGGATATGGCTGCAAGAACTTTATAACTCCAAGTTTTATAGAAAAATTAACATAAGTTATAATTTTATACAAGGCGTCTTGTGATTGAAGGAAATATGAAGTTGATCATTAACGGTTAACAAAATGTGTTTCACGATTAAAAAGTAAGTTGCATTCTAAAAATAGTGTTTTTGAAAACTTTTATGCATATGAATGATTTTTCTAAAAAACTTTTAGAGATACAGTAATTTATTATAATAAATATCAAATAATATAAATAACTAAAAAAGGTAGGGGAAAATGTCACTATAGCACCATAAAGTTAAGGTTTTTTTCCCCGATTTCGTCACTATTTTTTTTTTTGGAACAGTAGACCACTAAACTCCTTTTTTACCTATCAATTACACCTTAAAAGGTTAATCGGCTGCAATGCCTACGTTTCAATTAATGTATTCTTTTATGGCGAAATTACTCACACGTCGGATATTCCAAGTCAAAATAAATAAGTCTAACACTTATACCTCACCCTATTCACCAGTCGACTTCATTCTTTACTACTCGGAAAGAAATGATTGCCAGCTAGGGTTTTGGAACCATTTTTGTGAGTGAGCAGAAGAATCAAATAACTAGTTGCAATGGCACAAGTAGGCGCTAATGGACTATTTGTGATTGTGGAACTCAACTATCAAGGGGTATTTACTCGTAATCCCTTCTCTTACACTGGTGGTGTGAAAACCATGTTCAATAATGTTGATTTTTTTGTTATTACTTACTTTGAGTGTTTGACATTCATGGAACGTTTCATGCATGAAGAATATAAAAAAATTTACTACTAGGAACCAGGTCTTTCCCTGATGAATGAGATTAATCCCATTTGAGATGATGTGGAATATGCTGCTTTTATTTTTAATTCTTATGCAATAGGTGATATAATTTCTGTTTATATGGATTGTATTGGGGTGTGAGTAGATGGGTGGTTTGATGATGATGACAATCCAGATGATGAAAATGAGTCTTGTATTGATGGTGAAAATAAATATAACATAGATGACCTTAGGAATATGGATGTGGAATTTAATGAGGATGCAATGATTATGAATAGGACATCAAATGATCATTTCTTGAGTAAGTTGTGTGTTGATGAGGATGAGGATAAACACATTGTAGATGATGATGATGATGGGAGAGAAATTAAATCTACCATGCACACTCATTCCATTTTTAATGAGTTATTACATTGGAAAAAACAAAAACCCATTCTTAGAATGAGATTTAAGGATCCAGGGCAAGTAAAATCAGTGTTGTGCAACTATGATATGGCTAATGATATCAGCTATGTTTTGAAAAAAAATGATAGAAAAAGGCTTTTGGTGAGATATAGTAAGGGTGCTTACTTATTTAGATTATGTACTTCTTGGATGAGTGATGAAGAGAGTTTCCAAATCAAGTCACTAAAAGTTGATCATAATTGTGCTAGGAACTTCAAGTTAGGATCATTAGTGACATATGCATGGATTGGGAGTCACTATACCAAAGAAATTGTACATAGTCAGAAATTGAGTGTGAGAAAACTGAGGTTACAGTTAATAACCAAGTTTGGTATCCATGTTAGCATAGGCCAACGCAGGAGGGCAAAGAAGTATGTATTGAAGCTTATTGAAGGTAGTCTTGTGGAGCACTATGCAGAACTATGGTCATATGGGCAAGAGATATTGAGGACAAATCCAGGGTCAACTGTGAAGCTAGAGATGGATAATGGTCTAGATGGACATAACCGTTTTAGCAATTTCTATGTATGTTTTCAAGGAGTGAAACAAGGTTGGATTGAAGGTTGTAGAAAGATAAGAGGTCTTGATGAGTGTTTTTTGAAAGGGAATTGTAAGGGGGAATTGTTTTGTGTAGTTGAGAGGGATACAAATGACAAGATATATCCTATTGCTTGGGCTATTGTTTGTGTGGAGAACAAGCATAATTGGAAGTGGTTTTTGGATCTTATTATTGATAACCTTAACTTAAACTTAGGAAATGGATACAATTTAATGTCAGATTAACACAAGGGGAGTACATTATGTAATTGATGGGTTTGAGCCAAAAGAACATCCTATGTGCTCATGCAAACCCTAATGCTTGGATCTAGGTTTCTCTATTGTAAATGCAATTCATCTAAGACTTTCTAACCCTAGATCTAATGTATATAACCGAAATTGACATAACAAATCAGATCTAGATGTTTACCTTGTTGTTGATTGAAGATCTTGAAGCCTTGAGAACTTTAGCACCTCAATTGTTGTGCCTCTAATGAATCACAAACACAAATAGCAATTGGAGGAAACAAGAGAGAGAGGGAAGAGGAGAATTTAGGCTCTAGGACTTCTAAGGTTCAAGTGGCCGAAATTCCCATGCCTAGGGGTCCTTTATATAGGTGTAGGAATTAGGGTTTCAATGGTTATCCTTATCTGATTACTTAGCTACCAAGCAGCCAAGGATAATTCTGAGAACCCCATCATGGACATTCTAAAGGCTTTAGCCCGAGAATTTGTCCACCTATATATTAGGGTTTCCTTGCCCAACTTTGTAACTATCACATAATTACAACAGCCCCTTAAGTTCAATTAACTTCTTTGATCACAAAAACTAATTCTTAATTAATCATTGACCAATATTAATTAAACAAATATGATTTCTCTTTAATTATTATCTTATTATAAATATTAATAACCATAATA